TCTCATGAAAACTGTCCCTATTTGCATAGCGCTAGTCCATGGATTATTCAGGTATCACCCTTACAGAAGTCCAGCTAATATAGGGCCTCATTACCTACACTACAAGCAGGATGATGCTGAGTCATGGCTTCTCAGCTGAAGGAATCAAAGGCAAAGATCTATGTATTTTGGCAAATAAATTGATTAGTCAACTTCCATTCATCAAGTACTTTCTATCTCCAGAGCCTACAGTAGACATTGGAAAACATCAAAGGAATAAGGGATATCCTATCTCCCTCTCATTCAAACCAAATTCAAGACAAGAATAAGCAAGCAAGAGCAACCATAGTAACTGCACAAACAGCTGTGGTCCACTGGAAGCCGTGGTAAGAACGCTGGATTGGGAGGAAGGAACTTAGTGTTTCATTTTCAGCTCTGCCTTTCACTAGCCACATGGGTCTGCGAAAGCAAATAAAGCTGCCTGAGCCTGAGTTTCCTCATCTGCAAACTGAAAATGATACCATCTACCTTGTTCAGAGGCTCAAAGAAAATACACGTGGAATTCCTAGCAGAGTGCCTGGACTATAAGGCCCTCAGTAAATGGATTGATTGTAGAATCTTGGCAATTCTAAAAAAAATCTTGTATCAGTACAAAAGTGCTTATTTAACTAAGGGAACATTTCTGGGACATGTAGATGTTTTTATTTAGGAGGAGGTGAGTAAGCAATGAGGTACGCAGAATGTCAAGGTCAAAAGGTCAGGGTCAAGCATATGCAAGCTTATGCAGGGGGAAGATTTAATAGGAACCATGGAAGGGGCATGAAGGGGAGCAGACAAAGATGGCTGTGAATAGAAGTTAGAGAACTCAAATTGTCAGAAGTGTTTGCACTGAAATTTAAGGCAGGAGAGAGCTGAAGAAGGTTCTTATGCAATAAATTCAATGGTACATGTAAAAGCTAAATGGGAAGCCTTTTATAAATGTATTAGATAGGCGAGTGCAGACTGGATCTGAGTAGAAAGATACCAGTGCAAGCAGTCAACTAAAGGCACAGCTGAGCCACACAGACATATGTGATGCAGGCCTGCCACAGGTGAACAGAGGGCAAGGAGAAGAATTTGAGAAGCAATAACACTTAGTGACAGATCTGCTGTGCTCCAGAAAGGTCTTTTCTAGTTTGCAAAACGCACCTGGTTTTAAATGTAAGCTGTATCGTTCTGTGCTCTGACCTCAACTGAGTCACATAGTCGCTGTGCATCTTTAAACATAGTCAGAGTTCTCTCATAAGCACCATGCAGACCAGGATCCCCCAAACCTCCTTATTAGCAGCTGCGGGATGCAGCGATTTGATCAGCCTCGGTTCATCCAGCAACACGCACCTCTGCCAGGGAAACGGTTGCCAGGCCCTGTGTTCATACCTCACAGAGCTCTCTTCTTTGCCAAATAAGCTTGCTCTTAAATATTCACAGCATTATTTGGATTTAAAAACAGCTCCATGCCATCAGGCAGAAAATATTCAGTGATTTCTCTATGGAACTTTAAAACCTGGAAGAAAAATAACTCTCACATACTGCCCCCTCCCGACCCAAAACCAGAGAGATTCTCTCTTTCTCTCCCTTGGAAATTAAAGGCTGACCAGCATTGCCCCTGTGGAAAGGCATCTACAATCCCAGTTGCTTTCATCAAAGTTCACGAAGGTCACATTTGAAAGTTGAACAATTGTGAAATCTCACATTTTCTGCCTATCATGAGACCTGATGAGATAGGTGGGGGATGGCAAAATTATACCATTCCAGTTCAGGAATGTGTCTCAAGAAGAAGAAAAAGTCAACCCTATGACAAAAGTAAAATTAGTCCCATGTCCTGGGTTTCTCTTTTGAGAACTGAATGGCATGGTTTTGAACATTTCAAAAACTTAAAG